TTATGCATTTCCTTTGGTATTTCTAACTCAAACATTATGTCCTAAGTTGTATGTAGAGATATATAACTGCAAGACTATAGCACAGATAGTAAGGTAAATCTACAGCTTTACAAATCAAGCCTAATCAGGGACACGAAACTAGTCAGAGCAGTGGCACAGTACTGTGGCATGGTGGCAGCCTGCCCCAGTAGTCTCTGAGCTCCCACAGGTGAGGCTATCTCAATGTTCCTGAGAAGAGTTGGCAGACTCATCATGTCTTTATCCCATTGTTATCCAGGTGCTCATCTTCTTCTCATAACTCTTAATGCATTTTACAATTAGAAAAGAACAAAAAAAAAAAAAGTTATGGGCAAAAGCAGACACAAGGACACTCCTGCTGGAGGAATGTCCTACCAAGCCCTCCAGGCTCTTCTCCATCGTTAAAGTATGATTTGTTTCTGTGCCGCTTCAGGGAGCAAGGGAGAGGGGGGCTATGTCTGATGCAGGCTGGGGGAGAACTGGGCCAGGGTCTCCCATTTCCTAGCTGATTTGGCAGATAGGATGCTGGATAACCAGCATTTCATGTGATAGTGAAAAGCCTGATCCATTTTAGTGTTTTGAAGACTACTGTGGGTCTCTAGCTTTGGGGTGGAACCTTTTGCACTAGATATCAAAGGGACTGTGACCACCCTGAGCCCACATACCCTGACACAACACCCCAGCAAAGCAGGTTATGAAGGCAGGTCTTGTGCTCTAGCCCAAAACAGTTCCCCAGGAATATGTGAGTGTTGGAAAGGTCTTTTAGGTTGCCTTACTTACACCTCAAATAATACAGTCTGAGAACTTGACGTATAGCTTCTACTCCTGGGGACTGCAACCTAAAAGAACATTTTAGCACCTATCTTGTAGACAGACAGAGCTGTTTTTGGAAGTAGCCCTTAGTGTCAGGCTTACAAAGCTATTTAGGGGGTTAACTCTTATTGAGCATCTCAGCTTTAAAGGAAATAAGTCTGGGAGTACTAGAGAGGGAGTACTCACTGAGGCAGAGCTTCAACTACTGTAAATAAATACTATTGATTTGAACTTTCACATAGCTCAATAACAGAGTAGATTTAAAGGAGCATGATGCACATAAGATTTAAAAAAATCAGAGTCCTGGTGCCCTGGCATCTTTATGATTACAAAAAATCCTCATCATCTTTTAAAAAAGAAAAAAAAGAAAAAAATCTAGACATTAATCTGGTAGTGAAATCAATCCTCTGAACAATCCCCTAAATCTGACATCTTTCCTTTTTCTGAAGTAAGGTTTCTTATTTGGATCTCTCATGAGTAAACTAACAGATGCTGGTAGCACCTATACTTTAACTGTTCTGCCTGCTTTGTTGCCTTAGTCCTCTCCTCCTGTCCCCTAGTCTTGGGGAGGAGGCAGGTGGTAAAGCTGCACAGCACAGTTAGAACAAGCTATTTCTGAGTGTTCTTGAAAAAAATTAGGGGCCTAACAGAAAAGGTGGCCGGGAATTTAGGGCAGGTGCAGGTCAGAAAGAGGACTACCCTGCCAGATGTGGGGGTTTGGAGTCCAACTTCTTGTGTTCCTTGGTGGGTCCAGCCCTTAAAGCAGTCTGTTTCCTCACAGAAACATTGTTTTATCCCAAGGTGCACAGCCACGGGAGAGCAGAAGACAAGCAGAAAGAGCAGTATCATGAACATATTAGTGTCAGAGAAGCTCTTTAAGGTAAAGGAATGTATCTGAAATGAAAAAAAGAAGATAACAGGTTCTAATTTTCACCTCCTTTCATAAACTGTGAGTTTCTTATTATCCTGTTTATCCAAACTGGTGATTGTCTTTCCTACATACAGAAGTCTTTCTCAAAGAGATGTGAGTTTACATTCTTTAAAGGCGGTAGCCGTACTGAATTTTCCTTTAAACATTGAACTCAAATGTTTACCTTTTTGACCCAGCATAAAAGATTAATTTTATTTTTATGGAAAAGGTTTTACTTTTCTTTAATCTCAGATTTTCATTTTCCAGTCACACAGAAGGTAGTTACCCTAGAATACCCTTAAAGGTGTTCAAGACTAGGTTTTTTAATGACAACGTTTTACTATATTTCTTTCATTTCAGCAAAGTTTCTAAGACCTTAAAACAATCACAGAGTTATTTTGCAGTTTAGATAGTATGTTGAGCTGGTTGTGTCATTTTGCTTCCTTGATTTTTTTCCTCTCTCTTAAGTATTTGATCGAGCGGTACAGCATGAAATAGCACAGTAATTGTTCAAAATAAAATTTCCAAATTATAGTTGATGAAGTTTATTCAAAAGAAATGAAAAAATTTCCAAAAGGATAGGACAAATCTGTGGTAAATATTGAAACTAAACAGCAATAAACAATAGTTTGTACTATTTTACACTAGAAAGTCTACTTATATAATCCAAACAGCAAACAAACTCTTGCTGGGTGCCATTCTGACAGATTTATAAAATATTTAAAGAGTTTTAATATTGCATTTTAAATTGAACTTTTGGAAGTTTCTCTTGTGTGTAGCTTACTAGTTTTTAAACCAATGAGAATATCGATACATTTTGGGTTGTTTTGGTTTTTGTTTTAAATTGTATCAGTCTCTTGTTCAGCTGCTGTTCACTGATATTACTATGGTACAAAAATGAAGCTGTTGTTTTGGGTCTGTTTTTTGAAAAAAAATAATATATTGTTCTTATTATGCTATGTGTGATGTGATTTTCACTGTGGATTATCCTGTTAGAAGTAATATGTCTGCAGAATTTTAATTAAAAGAGATTAAATACCTGCAAAGGTGTGCACTACAGATTTTGTTTTCTTCCTGAAATCTCAAAAATAAGCAATTGTTTTGAAAAAACAAGATAAAAGTACCAAGAGGGAAAAATAAGGGCATTACCAGAAATAATCAAAACAGTCTGGTATTCCAGGTACTTAACTTCAACCTCTCCCCCTTTTTTTTTTTACCCTCAGTAAAGTAGGAATGTATTTTGATTGTCTCTACAACCAGTGAAACAATACCATCTTCTCAGCTTATGGATATTTCTGTGTCAGGATTCCAACTGAGAACCTCTGTGTAATCAAATCCATTGCATTACCATTTTGGCATTTTAATATCAATGGGATCATAAGAAATGAACCAATGCTAAAAGGTTTTATTTGTAACGCTCTGTACAACTTAGAATTATCTGCTATGACATTTGATAACTCAGGAAATAAACCAACTTATTAGTAGTACAGTTTTGTGTATCCTCATCAACTTCACATGCAAGCATTTATATATCTTAAAACCTTCAGTAAGTGAAATTAAAAAAAAAAAAACCATCCCTTGCAATGTGTCCTTGTTCAGGACTACACAAAACCAAAATAAGGTGTTTTCTAATGGTATATGAAATTGTAAACAATGTAAGTCTTCAGCGATAAGTTGAAAGGACACTTTAGTTTAGGATTTTAGGTTTTTAGCTGAATGACGCTATTATTGCTCAAATAGCGAAGAGAAGCCTTGTGTCCATGTTATTCTCAGAAGAACCTAGACTCCTATTTTGCTGTGCATGTGAAGAAAGCTTTCCATTGGAGAAGGCAACGCAAAATGTGCTTTTCTCTGTCAGCTTCCTTTCTAGCCAGCTGAGTAGAAATGGTATCTGATTTGTAGGCAGACTTATGATGCCTCCACCACTAGCCCCTTTCAAAAAAAAAACCAAAAAAAAACAACAAACAAACAAACAAACAGAAACCATATCCAGCAACACTTTTAAGTACACTTCAAGAGAAAAGGGGAATCAAGCATAGGTGGGCCAGGCACACAGTTTGTAGTATGCAGACATATATGATTATCAGCCATCTTGGTAACATCTTCATTTACTGGGATCCTGTCCTCAGTAATTCAGCAGATTTGTAAAAGGCCAAAAGATGTGTAGATCCTAATTCTCAGGTCTGCCTTCTAGTTCTGTTTCTTTAAGGATTAAATTTTGTTTGTCTGTTTGTTCAATTTCTGTGTGATTTCTTCTGTATTTTTCAGCAGAATATATACATATGCACACATACAACTACATATGTATGTGTATTGTTTTGTAAATGTTCTCAGTCATGCTTTTTTCTGCTTTGCATCATTTATTCATATACCTTCCATGTTCTCATTTATTTTTTGTGCAACTAAACCTTATAATAAATTATTAAATATAGCCTAACAGTGACAGAGTCTTCATGTTTTATTTTCTTCTGGGCATGAGGGGAGATGTGGACGGGACTGAGGGAGGGAGAGAGGAAAGCAGGGGCTATACTTCTATTCCATCCCCAAATAGAAAACACTGAAATAATTGTGATGAGTGGCAAGAAGTCTGTAAAACCACACAGCTGTCAGATACCAAGTTTCTGTGCATACTTTTAAATCTAGGTTCAAGGAGCTCTGATAGATTTGCTTTTGTCAGCTGAATAGTACTGTTTGCCCAGCAGCAAAATAACACCTTTTGTGTGGAAAATCGTGGGTATTTATTATTCTATAGAGCTCTCAATTTGAGATGCAAGAATCATGGACATGGACAACATCAAGCACATTTTCTTTCTCACCCTGTCACATAAACTCCTCATACACATAGATTTCTCAGACTGAATTAAATTTATGTAAACATATGCAGCTCCACTCTGCACATCAGAGCTGTTCTAAAATTGATACTTAAGAGTTCACCTACTGCGTAAAAATGGTTAAATTGTAGAAGTGCAAATAATCTTTAATTCTGCATATGAATCAAAGGATACATTAATGCTGCAGGCTGCAATACAACACTGACACACCTGGAGTAGCCTGGCCCAGATGGACTGGACAGCCAAAGCAGCCCAGGCAGTGCTCAGCACAGTCAGTTTGACCTTCCACATCTTGCTGGTGCAAAGAAAATAAAGTCTTTGCTGCAAATAAAAGGCTTGTGCTTTGATTACTTCATTCTTAAGAAAGAACATAATGGTCTTTTCTTATGTTTGTGTGAGGCATTTCTGTAGCTGACTTAAACCTCTGTCTACCCGAGTGATGATTCTTCTCCTCTTCTTTCTGTCCTACTATGCATGCCATGAAAATTGGATCTCCTATAACTGTTAGCAGGCTAGAAGAACATTAAAAACAAAAAAAAAAAGGTTAAAGTACTTTTCTCAACCATCAATAATTTATTTTTTTTGTCTTCTTGTTTTCTATGAATACACTTCAGACTCAAGTCATATGAAAAAAAGAAGTTACAATTTGAATATATTTCCCAGCTGTCCCGCATCAGGTCCCTGGTAAAGCACCAGTGAAATGCCCCCTTCCCCTCGCATCCACACTTCAGATATCGACACAGTCACTCCTGCGTAAGTCTTATGACAACCTAATGTGACAGTGCCTGGGTGAACTGACATGGCAGGAAAGGTGGTTTCTGAAGCACTTTGATTGCTGGATGAAAAGCTTCATCCTGGTAAAACAGTGACCCAGCAGTTAGAATGAGAAAAATAGGCTTTATAAGGACGTATTGGCAGTGGAGCTTACCACCAGCTCATACAGGAGTGAGATCTGAGAGAAAATAGGTGGAAAGGTCTAGTGGTTAGGGTGCAGGACTCTCACCGCT